ACACACACACGCGATATACATACGCAAGCACCCTCGCGGCCTTTATCTCGAAGTATGGCCGCCCTGCTTTTCAGATATACACGCCGGAGTGGCTCGTTACTTCAATCGGAAAACTGCGCACATATAATTGATCGTCATGGGCGACGAAGCGAAGGATTCGCCCCCGATATTTCGCCGGCGAAACATCGCGCGATATACACTTCCCGCACACGACGATGGCGCACGATAAATTCCGGAATTTCCACGGGCTCGCCGGCCGAAACGTGATGCCATCTGTGGCACTTGGCGCGAAACTCGTCTTAAAAATCATCCCCCTGAGATCAATACGCCGTAAGGGTAGGCCAGACAGCGGGTCTGCGCGAAATACAAGGCCGGCCAGTTGGACGCGCTTAATTCTCATCCGCGCGCGCGCGCGCGCTCGTTCCCACGGAAGCGAAGGAGAAAGCCGGGCAAAAAGCGATAATTCCTTATCGCCGTATCGAGAGAGCAGATTCGATCGTTTGGCCGATTATTCAGCCGGAATCGAGCTGGTTCTCCGCGGAGCTGGAAGCGCCGCGCCGCGTCGCAAAGAGCTCTCCGCGGCCGACCGGCGATTGGCGACCTGGCGCGGAACGCGCTTCAATTATTCTCGCGTATCGCCGCCGACGCTAGGCGGCGTATCGTCCCGCCCATTCGTCCCGACGACGCTGCCATTGTCCTCTGGAGATTGAAAAGTTGCGAAACGCCGAGAACGCCGCTGTCTGCGGCGCGTCAGCCGTGTCAAGTCCCAAGCGGACCCGACGAAGCGACTTCGCGCGCGCGCCCGCTCATGCGGCAAGTTTCTCCGCTCCGCGTACAGCTCCCGGTCTCGCCGGATATTAAATATTTCGCGGAAACTATGTATCGTGAGATCTCTGATCGGCGGATCCGCGACGCGCGGCAGCGTTAAACGCGAGCCGCGCCGCGGCGAGCAAACAGCCGAGCGCGCCGCTAACGCGCGCTCCGCGAATCCGCGCAATGAATTATGAGTATGGCGCAACGCCGACGCGATACTTTCGTCAAACAGAGATAAGCGAATTTCGTCCCACGCGGAAAAGGAGAGACGGAAAAGGAAAGAGAGAGAGAGAGAGAGAGAGAAAAAGTGCGAATTTTCCGGCCGATTCAGGGCGAGGCTGACGCGCATGTGAGAGATTGTCCGCAACAGCGATTCCGACGCTTGCGCGGCCATTTAATCCATATTTTTGCATCTCACCTCTAAATACGCAATTAACTTCAAAGATCGGAGACGTTCAACTGACAGTCGGCCGGCATTAACGCACATCATTGGCGAAAGGTGAACGTCGAGCTTATTATTCCGCGGTTAGTGATAAGTGAACGTCGCGGCTCGTGGATTATTCCGCGGTTGGTGATAAGTGACGATCATCATGCTCGCGGATTCTTCCGCTTGCGGATGAGTTAATTGGCCGACTCGCGCGTGCTTCAAGCCCGATCGTCAACGGGTGTAACGAGTCTTGAGCGTTTCGCCTCAAGGGACTGTAACTTGTTTTGAGCCAAAGGTCCTGCCATTTTGGGCAGGAGTCCTTGAGCGTTACCGCGACCCCCGGCGGCGCGGAAAATGTGTCTTTTGCCAGGAATCGCGTTCACAAATCGGACCCCTCTCCGCCGGAGTCTCTTCATCTATTGATTCATGACGGTCTCTCGTTATTGCGAAATGATAGGACTCGGCGACTTGGCGAAAGCGCAACGCCCGCGTTGAAACCGCGGTTTCTCTTTCCACGGGTATTAGTTGAGCACCGGTCAACCGTAATTCAACAGATTTTCTAGACCTCCGGTGTAGAGGCGCGGAACGGGCCGCGGCAAGGGGAGGTCGGCTAACTCAAATTTATGAGGCGGGATGACCCACATAAAATAAACACGATCGCGCCCGGCGAGATTTCCGAACGCTGCGCGCCCGCGCCGCCATGGTGCGGCCGAGCCGTCAAACTTCAATTGCAGATCAAGTATAAATAACAAATCGAGAAAGAGAAGAGAGAGAGAGAGAGAGAGAGAAAGAGAGAGGGATGAGGATGAGGAAGTTGCGATCAATCAACGGGGTTCGCGACGGGTTAATTCTTCCGGCGCTTCCGCGCCGCTGCGCCATTAAACATTTCCGTCTGGCGTTGTTTGCGTATTAAAACGAGCGCGATTGGATCGCGCGCGGCTTGGAAAAAGAAACATTTGGACGACCCATCGGCCGCTTCGCCGCGGAAGCCGTAGGAAACAACGCTCGAGAGCCGACCGGGCCGACCCGGGCGAAGAAGACCCCCGCTGCTGTATTCGGGTCGCAGGTGTTCGGCTTACCGGACCAGCCCCGCTAAGGTTTCCGCGACACGCGAGTGTCTTCTCCGCGGCTTCTAACGAGATAATTCGATTGCCGGCCAGCAATGGGGAAGGGGGGCGCGGCGATGCCGCGCGCGTTCTCCTCACCCCCGCGGAAAGAGAAAAGTCCGAGACGCGCGCGCGGGCTTTCACCGAGGTGATATGTATTTACGCAAATTGCCCGGTCTCGCCAATCTCGTCGGCGATCGAGATCGCGTTTCCGATAGGTTTCGTAAACGATTGTCGTCACGCTTTCGCCCACCGCGATAATTCAGCTCGCGGCAAAAGTAGGACGGGCGCGGTGCGCGCAGCTTCGATCGCGGCGTTTCCCTTGATTTGCGCCGCGGCCGACAAACATCGCGGGATTAATTAGCGGCTGATACGCGAGAATAGCACTCCGCGCATAGTGGCGGGGGGGAGGGGGGAGGAGGAGGTTCTCTCACACGCTTTCTCTCTCTCTCTCTCTCTCTCTCTCTCTCTCTCTCTCTCTCTCTCTCTCTCTCTCTAACGCGTTGCGGACCTTGACTGTCATTATTTCAACAATAAAAACATGCGGGTTGTCCTTCTCCCTCTCCTTGCCCCAGCAAGGAGCTAACAACGAATCTCGTTTAGGGTTGGCGCAAAGTCGGCCATTGCTCCGGCTCGAGGTAGCTTTTGTGCTTTTTGTTCGGCCGTGCCCCTTTCATCGCGCCATCCCCTTCGCGGACAAAAGAACTCGAGTAAATACGAAAAACGCCGCACAAGCGCGTCGTCATCGCCGTCTCCTCCTCCCCGTCGTAGTCGTCGTCGTCCACGACGCTTTCGAAACCGCGAAATCTCTCATCGATGACGACGTCGCGCTCTTTCGAGGGTTGAAAGTGCCCCGACTAATGCGCCAATAAAACACGTCTCTCGCGCCGTTCGCACTTTCACCTACTTTGCCAGCTTTGTTCGATGGAAAAAAAAAAGAGAAAAAAAACAAAAGAAGCCAAGAGAAGCGCGTCTTTTATTGGCGATACGAATAATCGCGCAGAGAAATCCGCGATTCGGGGCGCATCGCGCAAACATGTCGCGATTTTCCACGTTCGCGACTGTCGGACGATTAGTCTCGCCGGGGTCATAAATGGCTTCCCTCTCCCCCCCCTCTCTCTTTCTCTCTCTCTCTCAACTATTGTCGTCATTGGCGCGCGCGCGACGCTGGAAGGTCGGTTTAATATTGACAGCTGCAGCAACGACAAAGTTCATAGCCCGGAGGGTAGATAGTTTGTAAGAGCGGGGACAGCGTATGGAGGGGCGGCAGGGGAGGGCAGAGCGAAGGGGTGCCACACGAGGTAAGCGGCTTACAGAGCGAGCGACGTCGTCGTCGTCGGGATTTTCGGTAACGGCGCGCGCTGCTGCGTGACGTTCCGCTCGACGTCGGCTTTCGGACAATGACGCGCGTCGTCTCCGCATGCACTTTTCCGCACTTTCATTAAGAACTTTATTCCGCCCTTAAGATGCGGCCGCGAGACGAGGCGCTCGTGCGGAAGGAAACTCGACAGGCCGCGGCGAGCGCCGCCGCCGCCGCCGCCGCCTCGATGTTTCAAGCATACATTGTTAAGTGCGAGGCAAAGTTTCTCGAAAAAATATGATAAAGTATCTCTCTAGATGGTCACCGTGTGAAGTAGTTGCTGAACGAGAGAAGATTCGGATGGAGAGGAACGTGACTTCCCTCGTGACATCTCGCATGCAGATTTGTCGGACGGCGATAGTAATCATTACCCTCGATTTTTGAAAATTGTTACACCAAGGTCGCTCTTTGTGTGTGTGTGTGTGTGTGTTTTTTTAATAGCACGATATGGTCTTTTTTTACGCAAATCGATTCCGCTCGTCAGTCCGCCTATAAAAAGCACTGAAGCGAGATCATCGAAGTGAATATTTCCCGAGAGACGTTTCGCATTTTATATATTCTGACATTTTGCGACGTAAAATGCGGAATATATCTCGCGTACTCGCTTCCCGATAACTTTGCCTTAATATTTATATATTTAGAACGAGAGAAAAAGCACATTTCTTCCAGCGACTCCTTCCGTTTGACACATTCGCGCGCGAGAGAAACGATGAGAGAGCCGGCTGAAATATATGCTCGACGGTAAATGCGTCAACGATTATTTCAAATATTATTATTCACCCGGAGATGTTGCATATCTTCTTTCTTGTTTAAAGCTTAACTCGTGTACACGCGCTCTCGGCGCATGCATATTAATTTCGAGGCGAAGAATTTTATTGATCTTTCTCGCTGTAATTTATGCTGTCGTGCGTCGAACGCGAAGGCAGGCCCCGATTTCATTTCGCCGGTATCACAGGGCGGTGATAAAATCGCGCGTCGCGGGAACAAATACGCAAAATTGTTAAATATCGCGAGGATCGTTCTCTCCCCTCCCCACCTCTCTCTCTCTCTCTCTCTCTCTCTCGCTCACGCTGCGATAGCTGGCGATACGTACGGGGGGACAAACACGAGAAGCAATACGCGCACGGAGGCATGTCGAGGCAATAAAGTTAATTCGCGAAGGCAGACGTACGCGCGCTGCGCGCGTATTTGCAGATGGAGCGTACTCGCAATTGTCAAAGCGCCGGCCGCGCGCGCTCGTGGGATTTTTTTTTCGCGTTCTACCTTTCTGAAAATATTGTTCTCGCTGTTTTAGCTGATGACCATCGCCATCGAATGGAAGCCGGCCATTCATCTGGACAATCGCTACCGGCTGATGAGGCACGAGCCGATGCTCGACGCGGACGGCAAAGAGACCGACGTGATCGGGACGGACTGCTAGTCGAGGTATCGCGCGATTCGCCGTCGCCGGGGGAATCACCGAATGACCGACCGCGGGATTGTTAAATGCGCAATTACACGCGTATATACCGTGGACGGATCCTTGCCGATACTCGACGTACTCTCGCTGTCCGAGCCGACGATTCGCCGATTTCCGCATTTCGGCTCATTATCTGCATTTACGCGGCATTTATCGCTTCTTCTCGGTAAAATCGTGTTTGGTCAGTGTAGCATTTCCACTTATTTCCGACGCTCAACTTCTATAATTTAATAGAAATTGCTCCGCAATATTCTGCGAATGGAAACTTTTGGGAAATAAACTGATTTTTCAAAACGTTTGTGTGAAATAATTCTCTCTCTCTCTCTCTCTCTCTTTTTCAATTTTTAATTCCCTTTTAAAACACTTCATACCGTACTGGTGATATTCTTCGCGATATTTCATCCCGTCTCCTCTTGGCTGTGTGAAATCACTCGAGCGGCGTAAAATTTTATATTCTAATCTTTATGTGAAACGTTTCACTCTCTCGTTTTCTCCTCCTCATCGATTGACTCTGACGGCCCCGCGGCGAATTTATTATTAGACGACGACAGAAAAATTCATCTCAGTATACAGTGTTCATCATAATTGAAGATTATAACAATCATACATTATGCACAAACCATTGCAATAACAAAGCAAATTGCCATTCGCGAAATCGCCCGCGCCGTGTATAACCATCTGCCCTTTCCTGGCCGTTCCTGTGTTTGCGCATCACGCGATTACGGAGCATTGTTATTCCGTGTGCTCTGAATTATTCCTGCGATGTTTGTGTTACGTGCGGAAATAAATCGACGAGAAGGGTAAGTTAGGAAAGTACGGTCATTCGTTTCGCGTCTCATCGCTGCACCGTTCGCGAGTATCGAATATTACTTGCATAAGACGTCACTCGGGCGGTACCATGTGAGTCGTCTCTTTGACTACCGCCGGGTTTGTTTATGAATCGATCCATCCCTACCCGTCGCGCTCCGTTCCCACGTCTCATGAAAGACAGGATGCAAAAATACTGCACACACCGCTCTCTCTCTCTCTCTCTCTCTCTCTCTCTCTCTCTCTCTCTCTCTCTGTCTTCCTCAGAGACGCGTTTTATAGCTCTCACGTTCGCGTTTAATCGGACGAGGCGCGCGCGTTTCACGGATAAATGCGGATAACGACGCGCACAATGTGTATATTTATATTAATGTTTAAACCGGCTATCACGCTTCGTGAAAAGAGTAGCTTCGGTTCTACACACGTGACAGTTTTTTCACGTACCCTCACGCACGCGCGCGCACGCATACACACACACACACACACACACACACACACACACACACACACACACACACACATACACACACACACACACACACACATGTAAGATGTCCCATTTGCAGCGCATTGTTCCTCTCTAAATTCCTTGGAGTGGAATCTCCCGCGAAATGTGCGTGGCGATACGATTATTATTATTGCTCACTCGCAATCCGCTGATAAGACAAAAATCCGGCCTTGCGTTACCTTGGACAATCAACAGTCAGAAGTCATCCTGCGCGAGTGGCAAAAGTCGTCGGATCTCCGAGTCGACTCGGGGATCACTCTCGGAGAGTGAAACCTCGCTCGCGAAAAAGTCCCGGGGACGACTCTTCGTCGGCGGGGCTCGCGCGGCGCTCCAAGTTTCCACGCCATCAAACAGCAGACGCGAACATGATCAAACGCGAAAATCACCCTCCTCCCTGCCCCTCCATGAAACGCATTCCAGTTGCGATCCACTCGGCGCGATCGTCGACGACGAAGACTCTACCTTCCCCCGTTGCCAACGCGCAGCCATCAGGCGCGAACGATTGATACACCCCCCTCGCATACGTATTCTCCTCTCCCTAATAGTCCTACAGTCTGCCTCTCTCTTCCTCCCCGCGTTTCCGCGGGGTCGAAAGGGGGAGCGAAGGGCCAAGGTGGTGCGAAACGACCGGAATCGAATCGAATCTCCGGCGGCAAGCACGCGCGCGCACATAGGCCTGGTGGTCTACGTCAGGCCAGGTGGTAGCTCCGCAAGATCCAGTCGACCCTCTCTCGCCCCCTTCCGTGCCCCCTCCGAAACCCCTCTTGCAGGCCCCGCCGCCAGGACGGCCACGCGACAGCTGTTGAACGTTCCACAGCGCTCGACGGTACGCTCGGAGAGCGCGCATTAGACGACGAGAGGTCGTGTTCGGCCGGTTTAACTGACGGCCGCTGCCCCCCCTCCTCCTCCTCCTCACCGCCGAGCCCTGTTCGTCAGAGCGTTCTTCCTTCGTCAGAGCGAGAACCGCGGACACGGGCTGGTGAAACGCGCCGTTGCTGGGGAAGCCTGGCGCTTTCGGCGCCGTCCGTCCGTCTGCATCATCATCATCATCATCGTCGTCATCAAAGTCGTCGTCGTCGTCGTCGCGTCGCCGCGCGACAAAGAGCTCATTCAACGACGCACAACGATCTCCTCTCTCTCGCTGGCGTCGGCCGGCCGGCCGGCCGCGGCAAACTCCACTCGCGCCGCGGGCGAGTATTCCTGACGCATAACGAACGCTCTGAAAACGCGCCTTTCCGCTCCCCAGAGCCAGGAACGAGGCTGCACACGAGACGGCGTCGGCGTTTCGTTTCGAGGCGGACGGAGCTCGGAGAGTCAGAGAGGCGTACTCGGGCGCGACCTTCGAGCAGACGCGAGCGACGCACCCGCGGCTCGGAATGCATTTCCATGGGACTCGTCGCGTCGCTTTTTCCTGCCTACCTACCGTGCGGGCTTTTTCAACGGCGGCACAAGAGAGTCCGGTTCTAGCCCGGCTCGAGTTTTACGCGCGTTTTACGCTCGACGGCGGGTCAATGTTGCGCGCGCGCGCGCGCGCGCTTCTCGTGTGACGGACGTGACATTCTTCAAGATCCACCGCGAGACCGAGAGCGAGGGCGCGTCGCGATTGTGCCGGCGGTTTGTCTCCGCTTCTCCGGCTCGTGTGAAAATCCTTTCGACGACGTGTGCGCGTACATGTCTCGCGCTATCGGTGGCCTTCCCGAGCAGAAATCAAATACGGCAATTTTTTATGCCTGATATGGCATGACTAGACACAAGCGCCGTAAGAAGGCATTATGAGTGGACCTTATCCGCGGTCGGAATGTGGCGCAATTGTCTTGCACAATATTTTTCGGATTATATCCTGACCAGCGATGACCAGTCATTATTTGGATGCCTGATTTGGTCCTGATGGACATTTCCCGATGGAGGTTTCTCGATTTCAGGCAATTTTACACGGAAAATAAAGATTTGCTAATATATGGACAGCTAAAAATATCAGCTGCAAGATTAGCAAGGTAAATTTGCTTGCTTTTATAGCAAAAGATTTAATTGTGATAGCTAAATGATTTGCTAATATCATATATTAGCAAATTTGCTTCTGCAGCTGATATTTTTAGTTGTCCATATATTAGCAAATCTTTTTTTTCGTGTATCAGGGCATTATGCAGGAGTGCGTTTCACTCCTTATTACGTGCCGGATCCGATAAAGTGATTCCAGGCCCTATTTGAAGTTTGGAAGCCGGATGGGGTTTTAATACGGCCGTGCGACGATGTTCTGCTCGGGCTGATTCGAGCGCGAAAGTCACGCGTCTGCAGCGAGAGCTGTGCGAATGAAAATGCTTTCTTTCATTTTTCGATTATATTCTTTTTTCCAGTTATATTCTGTTTTTCAAGCAACTTTTTGCTCAGGGTGCTTCAAGCAGCCGCGCGAAGGATTCCAGTTCTCGTACCGCGGGCGACTTTGTGTCGCGGGAAAATTAACAGTCGTTAGCTGAAACTCGTCTCACGGGAGAGAGACGCTGAAATTTTAATTTCGAGCCAGATGCGCGGCTTTTCCGGCCGGAACGTGGCTTCACGCGTTTCGAAACGGAAAAAGCCCGATCCGTCGAGGCCCGTGGGGATCTAACGTAAGAGACAAGATTCACGTAACAATCGTCGGGGGCAGCCCCGCAGCTGCATTTCTTCGCACCGCTGAGCGACTAAACGGCGCTCGGAGTCTCGATCGAACGGCCGTTTAAAATTTCACACGCTCTCGCCGCGAAAGAGGCTCGGCTCTCGAGGCGCGGTGTTGCCTCGGAAAGCTTTCCAGCCAGCCGGAGCAATTCGCGCTGCGCTGCGCTGCGCTGCGCTGCGATACGCCTTCGCCCGCAAGACGCACTCGTCGAAAGCGAGAGCGGCGGAGGAAACGCGAGAATGAAAAAGAAACGGCCGCGAGCGAGAAAGTGGCCAATTGGACGGCGCCGGAGAGCACGCAGAGGTTCGCCACAGGTTAAAGACCGCCGCCGCTGCGTGCGGCTCGTCGGTGTTGGCTTTCGAATAACAGCGAGTTGCGCAAGTTTTACGCCGCGCGTACGGCGCGGTAAACGGTAAGGTAATAGTCGGGGAAAAGCGCGTCTCTCTTGTATCGCGCGTGTTATATACACGCATCGCGCGCATCGAGTCGACGGCTTTGCCCCGCTTCGGCCGTCCGCGCGAAGCTTTGCGCGTCGGTTAATTATAGCGTCGTAAAGCGGCGACATCGCCGCCGTCGCGGTCGCATCGCCGGCCGATGCAGTTGCACGCCGGATATGGAAATGCGCTCCTATTTTCCCTCTCGCCGGTGTGTTTGCGCGGGCACACGTGAGATCGACGACGACGACTCGATTTACAGAGCGATTTCCGTCGGAGTCGTCGCCGCGGTATCGTCTGCCAGAGACACGATTAGCCGCTTTCCGGGACGACGCACGTACCTGCTCCGCGACCGGAAGAGACCGTGCCAGCTGGTGAACGAAGCTGCTACGCGCTTCGTTCTCATCGGTACGGTAACCGAAAGAGAGACAGAAGGGGGAAGAGAGAGAGAGAGAGAGAGAGAGAGAGAGAGAGAGAGAGAGACCTTCGCTCGATACGAAACGCGCTCGTAAATTTTCTCTCACTTCCGCGACTCTTTTCGTCGGCTAAAGTGCGGTTCGCGACGCGATCACGCGACACGTTCGAATCACTCGGGAGAAATGACTGCCGGGGTGTATCGTTGAATTAGATTCACGTGACAATTATTTAGTCGTCACTCCCCCTCCCCCTCCCATCCCAGTGTCACATCGAGAAGCGTTTAATAATCATTTGAACGTTATCGACAATCATTTAACCATTGTTCCCGACGTTCCCTTCGATCTGTGTCACTGCGCGCACGAGAGAGAGAGAGAGAGAGAGAGAGAGAGAGAGAGAGAGAACGGGAGGCGGGAGAGGGGAAGCGGGACGCCCGACGACGCCGGCGGCTGCGAGAGCGCTCCTCGGTAGGGCGATAAATCTATTTCGC